GGGACTCGCGACTCCTCCCCCTACCCTCACGTCTGTGGCGGTGCTACTGGTTATCAGGAAACTTTGTATGATCATAGTGCTTAGCAACCGTCCACCTCGGGACTTGGGACCCGAGCCGCTCTGCGCGTTGTGTCTAATCGGCATGTATGGAGGACCTGTTTGTTTGGAGGCATCCTCCTTTATAACTGCATCATGTTTAGTGCCCTCCGAGATGAGGAGACTATCCTGTTGGGCATTGGTCCTGCTGTAAAACGACCAGTCTATCTTTAGTGTAGGCCAGAGTAGACGCCTGTTAGCATCTCGAACTAGTACTGCGCGCCTTCGAAAGAATCTAGGCCCCCAACAGCAGAAGAAGGGCCTGCTGTCCGCTGGCATTGCAGCGGAGGGATGGGCATCCAATTGCGGTACCTGGTTGTGACTGCACTGGAGGTAAAGGGAACTTAGATGGCCTTCTGTTACAAACCTCCTCGGGTGCACCAGACTGGTAGGGATGCTATCTATCCCCCTTAACCTCACGACAGTGGCAGGGGTATGTGCATTGGCTACCACTGACTGAGGCAGTTTTCCATCTGGTCCCAGGCACTGACAGTCCACCTGCTTTATTTTAAAGCAACGAGGGCATCGGTAGCCCGCCCGGACGAGCATTTTGGCACAAGCCCTGCTGCGCTTGAGAGGCTGCGCCGTTGACGCCGAGGACGGCTCGTTTGTCCTTCAGAAGGCATCGTCCCCCGGCCAGTCAAAAGATGGGTCATCGTCCGAGACCGCGGTCTTGGCATCAGTCGTCTGGTCGGCCTGCTCTTTCTCTAGGAGGTGAGGCGCCTTGCTTGGCCTCGGCGCTCGGCTCACAGGCCGTCTCTGCAGCACAGATGATCGTGTCCTCTTGTCCACGTCCCGGCATTCGCTGTCTGAGAGCGCGGGCTGCTTTCGTTGCGGCGGTGGACTCGGAGCGCTTGGAGGACAACCTCCGGGTAGTCGTGACTGTGCGGCACTCGACCCAGTAGGTGGCCTACAGGAGTTCCAGGTACAGTCTGCTTGGGTGGGGCGTCTGGAGAGGGTGACCAGAGCCTCTCATCGTCTGTAACCTCCGGTGGAGGATCCGCAGCAGGACTACACATAATGTCACTCCCCAGCTCACTGGCAGCATCCTCGATGTGGTCCGGTGGAGTGACTGCTGCTGGTTCGTGGCCCGTATCCGGGGTAGGTGCTAACCAGGCCTCGTCGGCGGAGAGGTGTCGAGGGTCCTCATCCGAGGAGTGGAAGATTCCTTCCGAGTCCGACGAGGTGGCCATGTGGTGAACTCTCAGGCTGCTGGGTGGTGCTGCAGTGACAGCGTTTCTTCTAGGATTGCGGGGTGGCAGTGACTGCTGCATTGCGTTATATGGGGCCCTACTAAGTTTCATAAAACTGTGATAAAGAGCAACCTCCTTGGTCTGCCCGAGCAGAACGAGCCGTGCAGAGGCAGGGAGCATAGTAATATGCTGCGATTGATGACCCTGCTTAGTGAAAACTGTTACGTGCAGGCGACCTAAGTGCTCTAGCCTGAGACCTGCTGTGGTGGCTGTGCAGCAGGCATGTGCACATGTAGCTGGGCGCACGGTGGCCGGCTCCGGAGGTGGACCTCCGCTGCGGCGGGGGCCGCTGCTCCTGTGGTGCCCAAAGGATGAAGGCAGTCTATTCTGATTGGAGCAAGGGGTAAGCCAGGTATGACTCTGAAGCGGATCTACCAGGACTGCCCTACGTAGCTGAGGGTTCCTAGTCTCTGTCGGCGGGGCCTGTGCATTGGGGCTGGGGAACTCAGTGATCTGTTGGGCCTCCGAAGACTGGGCAGGGACACTAGCACGAAAGGAACCCATGTACTCCAGCTCGCTGCATTCAGATTCGCATTCCTCATACGCCGAGGGCTTATGCTTCTCGGCTGTGGCAATGTCAGCGGCCTCCTTCTCAGACACTGCACTGCGGTGAGACTGGTCCACCTCTTTCGCCGACGACGATTCTGTGCACCGGCGGGCTGGGTCAACCACTTTCCAGGATCTGGACCTGGACCTGGAACGTTTGCGGTCCTTGTCTCTGTCCTTCTTGTCCTTCTTGACCTTGTCCTTGTCCTTCTTGAGCTCCTTCTCGATGCGGGCTTTGCTTTGCTTCTCCCTCTTTTTGTCCTTTGCCTTGTTCTTGTCTTTGTCCTTCTCCTTGTGGTGCTTCTTGTCAGACTTGTGCTGCGCATCTTTCCGGAGTTCGCTGCGATTCGTCGCGGTCTCCTCTGGCTTGAGCTGAGGCGGTGCGAAGGGGCTCTCTGCAGGGTCCACCACGCGAGGGACCTTTGTGGAAAGAGGCACTGCGTCCCCTGGCCCCACCGATGCCCCCTCCGATGGAGGTGGCGGCGCCGGCTCCTTCGGCGGGTTCTCCAAAGCTTTGTCCACCCATGATGGCGCCGGTGTCGCCGTTGGGGAGCTCTCTTCCTCGAACCAGATGCTTTTCCTCCGGATTTTGGATTGGCATCCTCCTGGAGCATCTCCTGCCTCGACTGTTGAGCCCCTCCCCGTGGATTCCTTGAAGTCCTTGGAGTCCGTGGTGCGCTTGCTGGGCCGCTCCACTGCGGCCACAGACTCCTTTGCTTTCTCACGAGGCTCAGTCCGTGGCTCCTTATTTTTCTGAGCCAGCAGTCGCCCTATGGAGCCCTTGGGCATGCGGTGCGCTCGTAGTCTGTCCATGGCACCCCGTTCGTTGTCGCCAGGGGCTTCCCGTCCTGCGGCACCTGCAGCACCTGTAACCGGGCTTGAGGAGGGAGCATCGTCCGCTGAGCCAGTAGTTGGCGTGGCTTTCGAGGTCATTGCTTTCAGACGATCTTTGGCCCTCACTTTCGGTTTGGGGGGCAGCGTAGGCAATCGCCATCCCTCCTTCGCCACTGCGGAGGAAGCCTCCACTGTGTGCCGTTGCGGAGGACCACCATCATCCTTTGCACCTGCCCGGACCGCCTCCGACTTCCGACCTGCTGGAGAGCTCCCGGTCACGCCAGTCCTGCCTTCTCTTGACTGCTCGAGGAGCTCTGGTGGAGTGCTTGGTGCACATTGTCGTAGCAGCTCTGGAGGAGTGGTCGGCGGGGTCCTCTCTATGAGGCTCCGCACGATCCTCCGTCCATGAGCGGTGGTGTTGCCGACGTTCTTGTCGCCATGGGGCATTAAGAATGCCCTTGCCCTTGCCCCGAGACCCCGTAGAGCGTCCTCTGTAGCCTTTCGCACCTTTGGAAGCACCGCGACCACGCCCTCCTTTGGAAAACCATTGGCCAGACTCTTTAAGCCACTGTCTCGTGTTTTTGTCCGGTCTGGCAGCTTCGCGTAGGTAATCTCGTGGCGTCTTTTCGCGCATTTCACCAGGCCAGCTCCGCCATGGCGGTCCTCAGCTGTACCCTTCGTACTTTGACAGCAGTGAGCCACATGTTGCGAGTGGCAGGCTTGTGGTGGCGTGCGTCTTTCACACAGAGGCTGCCTCTTGACACAACCCAGAAGTGAGGACTTATATGGGCCTGGCTGCCCCAGGATGGGAAATTTGTGACGGGTGAGAGTTGGGTGCAAACCCTGGCAAAAGGATCCAACTGCCCTGAAGGTAACCATTGGCAGGGGGGTGAACCCAGCTTTCCAAGGGCCTGTGACTCCACAACCAGCAAATTCCAGACCGGGCAAAACAGACTATGGGCTCCCCAGTGTCCTGCGATTGCACCGGGGTATTGGTGCCGCTGCAGCAGGCAGTCCGCGGCCTGGCTGGACAAAGGGCTGTGACACCACAACGGAGGGGAACCTCTCGCTATGACTGGAAACTGGTGCTGAGACTGTGCGTCGCCGGAGGGGAACCTCCTTAGCTTATCAGCAACAGCACTAACACCTGCTGGCATGGCCTCGCTTCCTAAGATGCTGTGGCCTGTAGCCACCGAGGCCTGGTTGACAGCTGATGAGTGCATCCATATGTGATGGGAGCATACCTTCCTGAGCGAAAGAGCAGCAGTGGAGACAGGTTGGCGCGGAGGGGAACCTCCTAGCATATTCTGTCGGGATTCTGAGAGGCTTGGCTGGAGGCAGTTCCCCGGGGGTGTAGCAGCCAGGGCCAAAAGACACACCAGAAGTAGAATGCCCGATCTCTCTGAGGCCAGTGTATTGTGTACTCGGGAACATGAACAGCTTCTCCTTTCACGCAATAGCCTGAAGCCCTTTTCCTATGCCATTCCTTGCAATTCCGTAACCAGGAAAAACGTCTCGCAAGTCAGTCCATCGCCTCCAGGTCCTGTGGGTGTCCCAGTTGAGCCGCGTATGCTCCGGCCACAACACTGCTGGCAAACGAACTGTCCATTCGATATGTTTGCTCAATGAGCTCTGGTTTATTGTGAGGGGGCGTCCATGACCAGGCTTGTTGCCATATAATGTATGGTGAGTCCTGCAACCATGCTGCGCCATACTGATTCTGCCTATCCAGACTGTCAGCAAAAGACATATTGAGGTGACGCAAACCCATGCACAGGTGTTCCAGTCCCAACTGATAAACCATCGTGTGCAGTGTGTCTGGCCACCTCCACCAGGTAGATCTGCTAGGGATTTTGTTGCAACCATGCATGCAAAGGGCCATGGCAGTCCTAACATCACCGAAAATATACAACAGAGGTCTGAAAGTGGAAACAACCGAAACGCTCCAATGATCCAAAGTTGAAATAAGTGACCAAAGACAAATGACACTTCAGAGCGCGTCGTTGCGAGCCGAGACGCTTAGTAGTAGTAGTAGTAG